CGATGGTGCCACTGATTTCTGCTCATTAGCTACAAAGTTAATCTAATAAAATGTTTTTTATAAGATCGTCACTAGCTGATAAAATGGGCCTTAGAAGTAGTACTTATGGGCTTCATCGAGGAGGATCTTATTTTTATCGTCGTGGCAACAAGTGAAACTCTTTTCTTGACACCATCACAAGTGAAGTTTTTATACAGGGAAATAGCATTAAAAAAACATGCAAAGTAAGGACCATTGACATTTTAAACTTTCAAAATTTATCACTCACACTATAAACCTTCAAAGTAATAGTTTTAGCTAAATAAACCTTCAAACTAGTTCTTTTGTTTGCCCCGACGTTTTCTTTAACGGAAAAGTTAATTTCGTTAACTCCGTCTGGTTTTAATTAAAAAAATTATTTTATTTTAATATTTATTATAATTAATAAAACTAAAAAATCTATTAAAAAAAAAAAAAATTCTTTCATCTTCCTCCTTCGTTTTCTCGTTGATGATGTAAATCCATTTGTTTTTTTTGTAATCAAAGATTCCAATATTGAAAGCCCTAATTTCACACAAAATCAAAGAGTCAAAATTTTATCAAAAGACAATTTGGAGATAACAACCCAGGAACAAGCGAGTAAAATAAGATCTGGAATTGAAAAAGTAAAATACCTTGCCCATTTCTCCAGAGTGTTCATGTCTCTATGCTTTTCAATTTTCACACATAACAAAAATTTGAGAGCAAGTTATGTTCTTTCACCGAATTCAATTTGTAGTCCTAGCTTTTTAATTGTTGAACAAATATTTAAATTCGAAAACTATGCCCTTGAATCTGGATGTAATTCGTTTGTTTAAGATGAAATTAGATAAATTCGATGTCTCGGATTAGTTGAATGGATCTTGGGTCGTTGTTGCTGGTGATTCTCAGCGAGATTCATGGCTTTGTTTTCGTTGAATCTGGTTTTGGGCTCGGATTAATAAGCCATGGACCCAGTTAAAATGTAATATGTTAAGAGATAAAGTGATGGTTGGTCATCGAAAATTT